GCTTGGAACCCCGGACCGGAGGAATATTACACATTGTCAGATTGCAGCATGTGGTTTACAGAAACTCTGAAACGGTTTCGGACCGAGAAACCCAATTTCCGTAACCGAAGAGAGGGAGCATCACTGTTTTCTTGGTTAACTAGGAAGACTCCACGAGGGCGACAGCATTGAGCCTAGCGAATGCGCTTGCCACAGCTTTTGGAATACACTGTGAAAGCCGGATAAGTTTGAAAATCTGCTTTGTCAGAAGTATTAGTGTAATAGAATAAACGTTCGATTTTTGGGGTGGCGCGGAGGTTTCGCTTTGGAAGCTGCAGATTTCAAGTGACTCACTTCCCACGTGTTCAGGCGTGACTACTGAAGTGCAGTTTATTCCAGTAATTTCTGTGACTCTCCTTAGGTGGATTTTGAAGCGTAAAAGGAAAGTACGGCTTCGCAAACGCGAGAATCAATATAGTAACGATGAATTGCGCCAGTATAATCTCCAAAATTGTATCTTCTGGAACACGTTCTAATCGTCCGCATAAAGCAGAAACTGGTGTTTTGAGAAATAAATACTTTTACTTCGAAAGGCGGAACACAAAACGAAATACAAAGATGCTAGAAAGAGCAACCCGATTGAGCTAGACTATATAGTGTCTCCGTAAGTATATCCGCGGCATGTAAATCTAACGCATCAAGGAAGCGTTGCTCTTCACTATATGAGAGCGACAGTGGTAGTTACTAGGACGAAGTAATTAGTAAGATATCTTCTACTTAGCCAAATTGTTCACGGTAGACCTGACGCCTGCCAAAATAAAACGTTTCCCGAGGAAGGTAAAATACCACCGCAACTGTTTACGGATTGCGATGCCAAGGTTGCACAGTAATGAGAGGACCAGGCTCCAGCCTCCAGTAGCCTGGATAGCGTACACCGTATGTATCGTACGAGAAAAAATCGTTAGGTATTGCGCTCAGATACAGTCGCCAAAAGTCCGGACAAAAATTCATTGAATCCGTAAGTAGTCAGTGGACTAACGTTCAACCGATCACAGGTATTGGATATCATTATCATCAACACACGTTAGGAGACGGTGGGAAACACCTCAGCTAAGGTGCCGTAATACGAAAATGATAAGCTGATGAACAGTACAGACTACAAAAACAAAAAGACACAAGCAACACAATGCTACATATCATATAATGCAATAGGTCACCGTCATTCATCATTATACAAGTCAGTTAGAGGTGGAAAACAAATCAGCTACTGCGTCACAACACAAAAAAGAAAAAGGAAAAAGTCAACAGATGTATGCCAGTTGAGCTACCAGTAACGGATGGGTATCGATCCAAAAAGCTATTAACCGGCTACTTTGAAGCAGAACAGTTTATGGTGCAAAATTAGATTTGGATAAAAAGTGAAACCGTGGTTGGAGGGGGCGACTAAGCTGGATGGAGTGGGACCAAATAACTCACGGCACGAACGCCAATCAGTTCGGCTCCGAGCCATGTCAGCGAGTGTATCCAGGCAAACACCGTAATTGCCTATCAGACTCCAACCAGGAGCTAAGAGAGATTTCATTTCTCTTGACCAAGTCATCATTTGGACTCCCATCCTGCGCTTCCAACCGCACCCCAGACGCGCAAACAATGCACGCCGCAGTAGTGGGTGGGCTGGTATGCGTAACACGTGGCCGAACCATCGGAGCTGGATGTGTGAAATAACCGCACTGAGCAGCCCACTCGCTCCTCCTGCACCAAATACGCGACGCCGAGCGTTCTCATTGCCCACGCGGTGTTCCCGCGACAAACCAGCTGAGCTGCGAAGACAGAGATGATCGAACTTAACTAGCCACTTTTTGTCTGTCGATCCGATGGGCCATATTTCACACCTGTACATGAGGGTTGAACAGATAGCTGCATTGAAACTATCCTCCAAAGGGCAACAGTAATGTTGCATCAACGATGCGGCGGAGATTGGCAAAAGCACCCCGCACTTTCGCAGCACGCTTCAACCCCACGGGCTCTAATATAGCTGCCCAGCTACTACAATTCCTCGACGAATTGCAGCTGATCACCCCCGAGATTAAGCGAAGGAATCGGTCCCCACCAATCTTCGTGAGCGACTTTGCATTTCGAGAGGTTCATGTTTCAGAATATCAATCGCTTCGATGCGATCGGAGGAGCAGTAATCCTCTACGCAAAGAACTGCCTCAAGGCCCACATTGTCGAATCCGATTGTGGCAAGGATGATATGCCAGAAATGCGCCGGTGTCGAATTCATGACGGATACCAATCGCTGATGGTCGGAGTGGTCTACAGAGCTCCTGCAGGACCTGGCTCACACTTATTACGCTCCGTGCAAACCCACAGCAGAGGAACAAACTGTCTCCTTATGGGTGACTTCAACGCCCCCCGCATAATCTGAGACCTTAACAGTGAGCTCCCACCTGACTCCATTGAAGTTGATCTCTTTGATACCGTTCACGAGTGCAACCTGACAGCATGTGTTGACACCAACACAGATGGTCCCTGGTCAGACACCAAACATCCTAGACCTGGTTTTCATCTCGGACCCATATGATGTCTCAGATCTAACGACCCTCCAACCTTTTGGGAAGAGTGATCACTGTACAGTCTCCTTTTCGTGGACACGACGTCTCGCAATCCACGATCAGTGGACAGGGCGTCAGAATTTCTGGCGCACTGACCAGCCCAGATTAAAAACGGCTGAAAAATAACATGGACTGGAGTATTCCACAATCCTTGGGGCTTGACGACGCATGGGAACACCTATGATATATGATGATGCGGCTCATCGAACAGTTTGTTCCAAACTGCAAGAGCAGACCACCATCAGAAGGACCCCATGGATTGATAAAGTAAGATCCCCAATGAAAAAACGACGGAAACTATGGGACCATTTCAAGAGCACAGGACTGACATCAAGCTACTTAGAGTACAAAGCTGTCAAAAGCCTATGCACCCCGAGAAAACGAGAGAAAAGACTACATTATGAACATGGACTGGCCATGGAATCCAAAAACTGTCCCAAAATACTTTTTGCCTACCTGGAGCGAAATGCCAAAACGGGTAGTGGAATCCCCGCTCTATCCTCTTCTAAGGAAGGTACCGTTCTCTACGACGATGATGAAAAAGCAAACCTACTGGCTGCGCAATATTCCTCGGTCTACTCAATGGAATCACCACTACTCAACAACTGTTTGCCTGCACCCAAATCCTCTATGGACCAGGTTGAAAGTAACACCGAGGTAGTCACTAAGCTACTCCTCGAACTGCACCCGAACTCCTTCCCAGGCCAAAATGGATTGCATCCCAGCTCCCTCGAAACAATAGCTGAGTACGTCGCCGCCCCTTTCTGCCAAGTATTTCGGCAATCCTTCGAAGTCGGCTGCCCACCCACAAGTTGGAAAGCAGGTACCGTCCTGCCCAAATACAAAGGAGAAATCAACAAGACCCAGCGAACTACCGGCCAATATGCCTGACATCAGTTGTGTGCAAAAGCATAGAACGAATAGTTAAGTACGCTATCCAGCCACACTGTGTGAACCTAAACCTCATCTCACCTGCTCAACATGACTTCCGGAGAGCACACTCGTGCATCTCTAACTTACTCATCGCCAGGGAAACATGGACAGAAGCCACAGACGTCCGAAAACAGGTTGACACAATATTCATTGACTTCAGTAAAGCCTTTGACAAAGTTCGCACGCACGACTGCTACATAAACTCCAGGGAATTGGCATTACAGAAAATCTCCTCTCCTGGATTGCCGATTTCTTAAGAGGTAGGTACAAGTGAACCAAACCCTCTCTGCTCCAGTGCCTATGACTAGTGGCGTTCCCCAAGCATCGGTGCCTGAACCAGAGCTCTTCAAACTGTACATTAACGATCTGCCGACTGCTTGATCTACGCCGATGGCTTCAAGCTATGGTCAACGGTATCCAGCCTTGGATGCGGACAGATTACAAGGGGCTCTAGACCAGCTACACGAATGGTCCACTAAGTGGGAATTACCAGAAAACCGAGATAAATGCGCTGTTCTCTCCATGGGTTGCACTGAACCGTACGGTGCATACCACATTGATGGGTTTCTCTTCAGGAATATCACTCACGAGATCTCGGGGTTATCGTGACTGACCTTGGAACGACGCAGGACACGTTGAAGGTGGCCACTGGAAGGAGACTGGTGGGTGCCTTATGATCATTCGCTCGAATGACTCCTGAGATTTTTCGACTTTTGTTCACTTCGTACGTCCGTCCAGTCTTAGAATATGGCCTACCAGCTAGCCATCCGCTTGCAAAGTTTGAATGCACTCTACTGGAAAAGGTTCAGAGACGTGCATCGAAAGTTGTTCTGGGGCTCCGTGATCTCCCGTACCTCATTCGACTCCAGCAGTTCAATCTGTTCTCCCTCGAGCTCCGCCGTCGTCAGGGTGTTCTCATCTATACTAGGCGCATCCTCCGAGGGGAACTTGGAAGTGAGTTACAATTCTTCCGGCCCAACACTGACTGTTCCCCAGGAGATCACACATGGAAACTATTTAAGCAAAAAAGACACAGAATTCGCATGGACGTTACTCTATCCACTAGAGTGGAACAGCCTACCGGAAGAAATTGCAGACGCGACATCCGAGGAAAGTTTCAAGCGGCTGCTAGACAAACATTCGCTGAGAATGCTGGAATCTTGCGGCTGTCATTGCAATTGCGACGAACTCTCGAGGAACGTCAAATTTCAACGACACGCATCAAACCCAGTATGATACGGAATCGATGGGGTTGACAAGTGATTCCCCTCCTGCTCTCTACAACTCAATGAAAAGTTGTGAGTGGAAGTAGTTGGGGAGAGCACATTAGCAGGAAATTCAAGTCCATTGAATATACGCCGAAATGCAACAGTACGTGGTAGCGACATACAATACTCTACAATGTAAAGTGCTGTGTACCCAACGCAGCTGTGGAACGTACTCAACGTAACGGAAGAAAACGTGGAAACTCACAGGGATCCTGTTGGGGTACTTCTTTTTGATCTTGGTAGAATCAGCGCATCTTTGCTCTGTTATCGAGCATAAACAAAAATCTAACTACCTACCAAAATCGTGCTGCTCTTTAAAGGATAACTTCATTTTTGAATGAAAGCGCACTCGTGAGGAAGTACAGCCACCCACCCGTCAAAATATTGAGGTCGATGGTTTAAAACAAATTGTGTCAATTTAGCTTAGAACTGGCAGTCTAAAGCTTAACTCAGTACAGATATGTTGCAGCACTGTTATCTTCTCTTAACTTTACATTCACGTATGGGCAGCGCTGGAGACACAATTGATGGCATCTAGAACACGTTCAATTCAAGTTCAAGTGGGGCGGGAACAGTAGAATAAATCCCCGTGGATGTTCCCCTAGTGGCGCGTCGTTGAGCCGTGGTATGATTCGTCCGCGATAACTGGGAGCTAGAAGAGTCATATCAGCACGCGCGAATCACACCCCAACCAACCAATTAATACCTACGCGACCTGCATTGGCAGTCCCCGCCACACCAATCACGTGAAATAAGAAACAGAAGTAGGAAGTAATAAGAGCGTTAAGAACCAAAAAGTAACAGATTCAATAATGCAATAAGGCGGATAAGCTAAGTTGTGAAGGGGAAAATTAAGAACTGACGGCTAAAAGCGTCAAGTCGGTGTCCGAACTCTAAACCCTAGTGCCAATACCACGTTCTCGGGCGGTGCACTCCAGGAATCCACCACGAGGTGATAAACGAAAGTCCTCCCGGACTCCATCCGATCGTGGTTTGTGTAGCTTCATTGAGTGACCTCGGAGAGTTGGAAGCCGAGTCGGTTGGAAAATCCGAGACAAATCGGGTCCGATTTTACCGGTAAGTATCCGATAGGTTAAAATCAGGTCGCCTCGATTTCGACGATAATGTACTGAGAACATTCCTAGCTCAAGTAGTCTTTCTGAGTAAGAAACATTCCATAGCCCATGAACCATTCTGGCTCCAACTCGCAACACTCTCCATTGACATCCTATCCCTGACTAAGCAAGGTGCACAAGCATGAATGCAGTATTCTAAGTTTGCCCTACAAAGGCGGACAATAACATAACAAACATATTGCCCGTGATGGTTCCGAACGCCCCGCGAATCATCCACAACATCCTGAAACCCTTGCACGTGGCTTTCCTCCAGTTCTCAGTGGATTTGAGTGATGCAGCCAACGTGATCCCCTCGTCTACCGGTTAGGAAACATGCTGTAGTTCATTTCTGCCAAGCAGGTAACGATTGTGATGGCCATTTGGCCCTAATAATAAAATGGAACACCTTGCATAATGTATGAGCAACTGCCACAGAGCGGCCCAGTCCCAAAGTTTATCGAGGGCCCGTTGCAGAGTCTGGGGTCTATCGAGGTCGGACACTGTGCCAAAACTTTAGGTCATGTGCAGACATGAGAGATGGCACCCCAGCAGTTCGAGCAGCCCATTGACATACAGAGAAAATAATGGCCTTTATGGGAACTTCTCATGCACGCTTTCACAACCTAGATTTTCAATGCTTAGGTTATGTGGGTTGTTACTTTTCTTACTGTTTCCATTAGCCTTCCATTTTGTCTGGTTTTTACTTCACGTGATAAATCACGTGGGCATTGATCGGTTGACCGTCGTGGGATGTGCGCGTGCCGGTTTGGCTCTCTCAAATGACTTGTCGATCCACACAATTTATCCAGGATTCATGACGCTTTTAAAATGGAACATCCGCAGACTCTCCTTTTGCTATTATTCGAAATTGAAAGAGTACCACTGCAAGCTATCGTAATTAGACGTGCCACTAGCCAACAGGGGTTATTCGCAGCAGTGAAACACGCACAACAAGCACACGTAACCATAAGCATAGTAGAATGTCACCATCAAATCAACTTTAACAAATGAAAGACGACATATCTGTGAAGCGCAAATTAAAGGGGAACAGTATTAAATTTGCGTGCATGTTCTGTTGAGACAGAAGTCGGCCCGTGGACCGGGGAATCTCAAGTCTGCCTTGTATTCCCCAGATCACGGGTTCCAGCCCGCGTAGGGGATCTGGCAGCCCCCGCAGTGTCCTTAACCCATGCGCTACTGGTGGTGGTTGCACGTCAGTGAGGGTCGGTATTGTGTACCGGCCGGCGTACTACTGATGGCTACTGAGACGGTGTAGTAATCCCCAATGATGTTCTAAAACGTGCTCCATGCCGAAGCTGATGTTGCATTCTTGATGCTTTATCCCCGCAGTTGCGCTAAACCAACTTACACTTAAACTAGGTCGTTTAAAGCTGGATAAATTTCATTCCACATCCTTTGGTTTGTTCTGCCTACCTGAATAATCTTCTATTAACTGGCTTCGTTGCTTACGCTAATAGCGGTTATCTTCGATAAGTTTGTGGCGTTTGTAGCCTATGTAAGCAACTTGTGGACATTTTTTACTTAGCGCGGATTCGTTGCTGGCCAGCTTACTTCATATGCTAATTTAGCAATGAGTTGTCACCTTATTTCTATGAATTATTGAATTTAGTTTATTTCATCTTATCGTTTCAACTGATTGGCTGTTGCTTGATATCCTCGGTGGGGCTGCGCTTGATGTGCATATTGACAAGGTACCTACCTGTCTATTACCCACTATCTTGTCCATACTGGTTCGAGGAGACAGTTGGTCACTGCTGGAGGGACAGGGCGCAAGTTGCTCGTGGCCGTGCTAGGCTTGAAGAGCGGTTCAATGCAATCAGTGTGGAGCGGACTACGGTCCAGCCACTGCTTTGTGTGCGCTTGATTCCCCAAATACAGCGTGCTTGTATTTGTCCGTAAAGGAGTGTGGGGCGGCTCTGTTAATGAAACGTGGCTCCCATCCCCATGCCTTCCGGTCTTATTCCTTCGGGTTTACACTGGATATGGTGTGTGTGGTTGGAGCTGTGGGTGGTGCAGCGCAAACCACCCATGGTCCCTCTGTATGTGCACGCGTCCTACAGCTGGCCACATTGACAGGCAAATCCGAAACTGGATGCTGCCAACCATGTTCTAAAACAACACGCGTAAAAGAGTTTACGGTTGACCAATTAAAACTGCATTAGCATTCCCCGCTTCGCCAGCCGCATAAACTAGGGGACCAAGTCGAAGTTCAGTTCGGACCGGAGCCTTAGGATAATCCCGTGAGTGTTCCTACTTTTGCGTATCGCTGAATCGTGGATTAATAGGTCTGCTTGAGGTCTGCTTAAAACAAAGACCGCATCACACTCTGCTCAGCCAATTACTGCCCACATTTTTCTGCCCAGTAGTCCTTCGCAGGCCGGTTTATGTGAAGTAAGAGAGTGCAGGGTAGGCTAAGAAAACAAGAGAACGAATGTCAACTAAACCATGGTAATAACAAGGTGTGAGAAAACATAAAAACGAACGGTAAGTTGAAGATGTAAGTCGGTTAGGAGAAGGGGAAAGTTTGGTACTGCCATCCAAAAGTCGCTAACTGACGCTCGAAACCCTCAAACAAAGACTCCCCAACGACGTGTTCCGGAAGCGAGTTTTAACGTTCAATAACCCGGCGCGACAAGCGAGTTTTCGTCCTTACTCGGCTAGAACGCAGCTTGTGCACCTTCAAATGTGACCACGGAGACTAGGCAGCTCGGCGGGACTAAATGGCCAGGAAACGTTTGGACTGGTACGGTATGTGAGGATCAAGTCTCCTCTAATTCTTCGGTACTGCATTGAGTACATACCCAGGCCAAGTAAACGTTCGGGATACGTTTGCCCTCGTAGTCCATGCACTAACCTTGTACCCATTTGCAAAACCCTCTCCAATTCCATTTTGTCTCTTACAAGACATAGTGGACAAGCATGGACACAGTATTCTAAATGGGGTCACAGAGAAAATAAGAACAGCTTCACAATGATATCGGCTGTTTGGACACCGAAAGAGCGGCAAATAAATCACATCATACGGAACCCTCTACAAACAGCCTTCCTCCAATTGTCCCCAGAATGAAGCATAATGTGTATAGGACACCTAGATCAACCTGCTGAGTGACAACAGGAATTTCACTTCCACCAACTACATAGCGCGTGGGGGGACAAGCACTTTCAATGCGGAGGACAGAACATTTCCCCTGATTTATAGGCATCAACCATAATGTTGACGAATCCCAGAGCCAATCCAAGGCGCTCCGAATTGCCGCAGAGAAATCAGAGATATCCACAATATTCCAGAGCTTGACATCATCAGCAAACAATAGCGACGGTAGGTCATTGGCATAAATTGCACAAAGCAACGGCCCTAAAACCGAGTCCTACGGAATGCCACTAAGAACAGCTTGCATTAGCGGAAGGCTAAGCCCTTACACGTTCACATTTTATGTATATTTATATAACTTACCTGTCATTTACCTATATATATATATATCAGACCTAGTGAACCGAAAAATTTAATTCAAATGGGTGTGTAAATGTATACTGTGAACTGTGCTTACAGAATCAATGACGTTTATACGTATATATGTCTGTTATGCCCCACGGAGTTGCTGTCGTTGCAACCTTGATGCTTCTTTACCGCGGTTGGGCTCAACCAACTTACACATAAACTAGTTACTTTTAATATGGAAAAAGTGCATTCCACTTTATTTGGTTACTTTGGCCTAACTGAAGGATCTTCTATTAACTTGCACACGTTGCTTACGCTGATTACGCTAATCTTCCGTAACTTTGTAGCTTTTGTAAGATTTGTAAGCAACTTGTGGACATTTTTTCCTTGTCACGGATTCGTTGCTAACTAGCTTACTTTATATGCTAATTTATCGAAGAGTCATTCCACTGTATCTGTATGCGTTATTGGATTTGTTTTATTTCATCCTGTCGCTTCAAGTGATTGGCTGTTGCTTGAAATCTCCGGTGTAGCTGCGCTTGAGGTGCACATGAGGTGACAAGATTGCTACCTCTCTACTACCCCCTGCCTCGTCCATACTGACTCCAGGGGACGGGGTGCATGGTCCTTGTGGGCGTGCTAGCCTAGAACCGTCGTTCCATGCACTCAGTGTGGAGCATACTACGGTCCAGCCACCGCATTGTGTGAGCTTGTTTCCCAAATACAGCGTGCTTGTGCTTGCCTGTGAAGCAGTGT